AGAGATTGGGTACAGGGTTTCTATTTGAGGTGACAAAAATATTGTAAAATTGTGGTGATGATTACACAACTCAATATGCTAAAAATTGCCAAACTGTACACTTCCAATGAGTGCATTATATGATACAGGTGAACTGAATCTCGATAAAACTGTCCTTTAAACAATATAAAAGTTTAAACATGACCAAAAACATATATAAGAAATAAGAAACACATGATATGATATGAGCACTCAAGTGAACTTGTCTTTCCGAATACCAGAATCTTTAAGCCTGCGTTAGTCAGAATGAGTTGTTGTGGGGCTGGTGCTGTGGCTTAGCAGGTAAAGGACCACCTGCAGTGCTGGCATCCTGTATGGGCACTGGTTTGAGTCCTGCCTGCTCCACTTCTGATTTAGCTTTCCACTATGGCCTGGGAAAGCAGAAGACAGCCCAAGTGCTTGGGGCCCAGCATCTGCGTGGAAGACCCAAAAAAAGCTCCTGGCTCCTGGCTCCTGGCTCCAGATTGGCACAGCTCTGGCTGTTGTAGCCATCTGGGGAATGAAATGGTAGATGAAAGACCTCTCTCTCTCTCTCTCTCTCTGGCTGCCTCTCTGTAACTGTGCCTTTCAAATAAATTTTAAAAACAATAAGTTATTACAAGGTAAAAAAAATTAATCCCAAACCCTAGCAGTTTAACACAACAAAAGCTCATCTCCTATTCATGCTACTTGTCCAAAATGATTTTACAAGGGCCTGTATTAGACAGTCATTTGGAAATTCAAGCTGATAGAGACCTGGCATATTTTAAAAAAAAGATGTATTTATTTTTTAATTTGAAAGGCAGGGTGACAGGGAGAGGGAGACAGAGAGATCTTCAATTGCCTGCAACAGCTGGGGTTGGGCCAGGTTGAAACCAGGAGCCAGGAACTTTATCTGGGTTTCCCACATGAATGGCAGAAGTCCAAATGCTTGGACCATCACCCATTGACTCCCTAGGCACATTTATCAGGAAGCTGGATTAATGCAGAGGTGGGACTCAATCCCTGGCATGCCAATATAGGATGCAGACATCCAAAGTGGTCATTTAACCCACTGTGCCACAGCATCTTCCCCAAAAGATCTCTCATCTCGTAACTGCATAATTTGGTACATGGGGACTTGGCAAGGGCAGAAAATACATAGAGAAATTGCTGTGTGTGTCTTTCATAAGTATATGTGTGTGCATGCACTCACACACACACACACTCACACACACACACTCAGACTAGAAGTGATACATATTGTTTCTGCTAATAACCTATGGGCTGAATGAGTCCTATCTGTCTGCCTAATTCAGGGGTAGGACAGTGACTAGGGAAAATGTATATACATAGAGAGTGATGTATAATACATATAGCATTAGTATTGCAATAAATAAATGGATCAGCAGGAAGACTGAAGAATATAAGTATTTAGGGCCCGCATTGTGATACAGTGGGTAAAGTCACTGCCTGCAGTGCCAGCATCCTATATGGGTGCTGGTTCAGGTCCCAGCTGCTTCACTTTGAATCTAACTCCCTGCTAATGCACCTGGGAAACCAGTGGAAGATGGTCCAAGTGCTTGGGCCCTCTACCCAAGTAGAAGCCCCTGGCTTTTGGCTTAGCCTGGCCCAGTTCCAGCCATTGTGGCCATTTGGTGAGTGAACCAGTGGATGGAAGATTTCTTTCTCTGTTTCTCTCTCTCTCTCCCCATCCCTCCCTTTTCCTCTTCTTCCTCTTCTCTGAAATTCTACCTTTAAAAAAAATGATGAATCTTTTTTAAAATAATGAAAATACTTAATCATATATATTTGAAATTAGAATCTTGAGCAAACATAATGATATAAATCACTAGGAAAATGAATGGAGTGGTAAAACCTGGCAAACAATATGGACAAAAATTAAAATAGGTACATTTAATTGTCTTTTACTAACAGAAAACAATAAATTCCAGGTGAATTATATTTCTAAATGCAAAAATTTAAAAAGGGGGAAGGGGACCAAGAAAATTTAGACAACCTTGTGAAAAAATAAAAATGCCAGGATTTGGAAAGACTTTTTATACCACAGCTAGAAGACCCAAATGCTATTAAAGCAAAGATGACTACATAAAAATTGCTTAACTTTCTGTAGAAAATAAGTAAATTCAAGAGACAAATAATAGCATTAAATATTTGAAATATTTGTGACTGGAAAGTGTACCTATAATATATGAAGAGTACTTCCAAAAGCTGACTAGAAAACAAACCAACAAGAAAAGGACCACAGGGTGCAAGTAGACAATTTACAAAAAGGAAAATCCCAATAGCAAAAAATCTGAAGGCTCAAGGTTTTCAGGTATGAGGGAAAATACACTTTACAGTAGCAGTGTTACAATATTTTTCAGTTACCAGACTGACAAAATTATAGGAAGACTTTTAACCTGTTACTTGAGTAGATTCTCAAAAAAAGGCTAATCTAATTGCCAGTGAAATATTACAGTATGACACCCTTTTTCAAAGGCAATCTATAGAAACATGCAGTGTGTGTGTGTGTGTGTGTGTGTGCAAAATTGTAATCCATTACCCAGCATTTCACTTGGAATCCATCCCATGTGGGGAGGGGAACATAAGGTCTGGAGAACTATGTGGAGAATGTTTATTAGCATTGTCTTCAGGGACACAAACTGGAAACAGAATTTTCATGAACAGGGAAATAAATAAATGGAGAAATAATATTTAGCTTCTGAAAAGAATGAGTTAAATCTCTACCTGTGGACTCTCAAGTGCTTAAAGGATGTTTTGAGTGAGAAAAACAAAATGGAGACAATGGAAGTCCCAGCACCAGCAGGTGTTAGGTATTCCTTGGGTTTGTATTTCTGTCTAGATGGTATTAAAGAGCCTGCACAAACAAGGAAGGGTTTAACTCCATTGTCACCAGGGTTTACTTTGAGATGGGTGACCCTGTGTTGTGTGTCAGGAAGGGAGTGTAGTGGAAATGGAAGCCAAGGGAAAGGAAGGTAAGGAGAACACACCAGCTCTGGCAGAAAAACAGTGCATTCAGGACTTAGCTATCCATTTGTGCAAGGCAATGCCTATGTAGAAAGACAGTCACTGCCTTCTAGAAGGGGCAGGCTCAGAGGCCCCTCCTGTAGTTTGGGTGCGAACCAAGGAGACCTGTTAGGGCACGGCTGAGGCTTTGTTTTAAAAATTGTGAACCGTCCTGAGTAGTGTGTTTTGTTTTTTGCAGAAGATAAATCAATTTAGCAAGTCCCAAGTACTCCCCAGAAGTGGTGGAGGCCAGAAGGAACCGGGGAGCAGAAAGCAGAGCACCGGGGCACACCTCCCCACCAGCTCCGGGCTGGGAAGCCCAGGGTGGCAGGGTGGTGCTCCTGAGTGAGCAGGGCAGGCTGTGCGGGACTTTCTGGGGAGTCGCAAGGCTGGAAGCCTCTGCCTGGGTATGCCCCTCCCTTCCATCCTCAGCCTCTACCATCCTCACTCAGGCTCTCCTGTGGCTAAGCTGTTCCGCTCTCTACCCCAATTTCCCTCACCACCTCGGTGAGCGAGCTTCCCTGCCTCCCCCTCACGCAGGGCTGGTCCCTTTATCCTCACAATACCTTGCAGTGGCCGCCTCTTTCCCGCTCACTGGGAGGCAGCCCGCCACCCCCCGCTGTGTCCAGCCCCAGCCCCCAGCTCAGTATCGACTTACTCCTCTAAGAGAGGATAAATGTTTACTTTTTAGCTTTTCTTTTATATTTAGCTTTTATTATATACGTAGGTCTTATTGGATTAAATGGTTCCCCGAGTGAAGTTCTTTTTGAAAATCTCAGCTTGCCGCCACTGGACAGCTTTATAGGAAAATTGAAGGTGAAGTCCATTCCCTTCTTTCCTCTCTCAGCCTCCCTCCTATGCCGCCTTTCCACATCCGGGGGGCGCTGTTCTCCCCAAGGCATCACGAATTCTCTCTGCACGGCTTAGGGTTCCGAGGGAAAACCCAGCAGAGCCAGTGGCTGTTCCCACAGACGTTGAAATCCCAGGCTCCCATAAAACCGGAGTGAACTAGCGCATTCCCGGCCCCGGGAGGGGATCCGAGTTAGTGCAGCGTAAGTCAATACAATATATTTCCTACCCTTAAAACTCTTCCCGTGAGATACTTTGCGTGCGTGATGCCAGGGATGTGCGTAAACGCAGCTCCTGAGAGGGTGTGGGCGTGCGCCCGTCCCTGCTTACGCGCCAGCCAGTCGTGCTACCCTCTCCAGCCCGACCCGAGGTGCCGCGTCCCCGTCCCTGCAGTGGGCGGGAGGAGCAGAGTAGATGCGGCCCTGGGCAACTGTAAAGGTTCCTGTCTCCCTGGTGAACCGCATCGCCTGTGACTGGCTGTCTATAGCATTCTCCCGCGCTCAGTTTATCTCTGCTTCTCCAAAACCGTTCACGCAGATTGGCGAGTCTACCTGCCTCTTCCCAGTGCCTGGTCCCAGCTGAGTTCCAGTGCCTTGGACTGGGAGATTAGACCTTGAAGTCTGCCCCAGGGAGAAGGGAGGGAGGGGGGTGGAGTGGGGAGAGGAGGGGGATGGAACTGCTCTCCAGGCCCTTTGCAACCCTGCAAGGGGAACAGAGGCTTCCCGGTCCTTGGGCGGCAAAGGCAAGACCGCAGTGGGTGTTGGTGGAGAGCCCAGAGCCAGGGTCTGGGCGACGCGCTCATTTGTAGGTGGTTCCGGCTCTCACCGAGCTCCACAGGGAGCCCAGCCGGGTCCCCAGTGCCTGCGCAGGAGGGCTTACCCGGAGCGCGCAGCTGGATCTTTTCCTGGAGCTAGGGACCAAGTCATCAGGGTAGCTGGGGGAAGCGCCCCCAAAGCTTAGAGCCTCTTAGCACCTCCCAGGAGCATCGGCCCGCCAGGGGAACAGGAGATTTATATTTTCGGGGGCGCTTCCTAACTACAACCTCGGGAAAGTTGTTTTCCAGAAGGTAGCATCCCAAGCGAGCCTGCATCACACGGCGGCTTGCAAGACACCCCCACACTTGCCCAACTGCTATTGCCAGAGACAGGCTCCTCTGCAGAGCTGTCGCAGGGCTCGGGCTGCCTCCCGCAAGTTCAATGTCCTCTACTCCGCTTTTCACAAACCCTTTCTTTCCCCCGCCAGCAGCCTGGTGCGACTCTGGTTCCAGCTGCAAACCCCACCTGTCTGTGACTCCTAGACCACCTACTGCCCCCTCGCGGAGTGTATGGGGCTCCCTGGCTCCAAGATGCCCGCAGCAGGTAGCAAGCAGGAAAAAGGCGTGGTGGCTGCGGCGGTGGAGTGAGACAGCTGCCAACCGCTGGCGCAGCTGCAGCGCTGCGCACAGGGACTGGCGAGCACGCAACCCAGGTACTGCCCCTCGCTGGTGACGTCTCTGCAGCTGGTTATAAAGCCTTGTGCACAGCCTGCCGAGGTGCTGCTGCTAACTCCCGGCACTGAGCAGGACCCAATTCAAAAAGCTGCAGGAGGTGGTGGCGGCGGCGGCTTCGGAGAAAGCGAAGGAAAATTCTCCAGCTGGACACGGTGCCGTAGAATCCCAGCCATAGGCTCAGAACTTTTACAGGACGTGCTGCAACGGGCTTCCTTCGCCAACCAACTCCTCAGACAGCCCAAGGCTTTGCCTTTTCCCGCCCATAGAAGGCGAAACAAGAGTTGCAAGCAGCAGCAGGTGCAGAAATCCCGGGTTATTTGGCTTCCTAGAACTGTAACCCGTGGAATTTCTTTCCTTCTCCCAGTATAATGCGGGGGAGATGCTGTCTCCAGATTTTTTAACTGAAATGCTTCCCGAAGCTTGAAAGTGGAGGAATTCAGAGCCACGAGGGGCAGGTGGACAGCGCATCCGGAAGCATAAATTTTCTGAGCGCCAACTCTCCTGCTTGCAAGGAGAGACTTATGCATAGACGGAACCTTCCTCCTTTTGGTCTGTCCTACGCACGATCCTGAGCCCCGGGCACCTGCCTAGGACCCTGGTGAGAAGGGGCCGGGGGGACTCTGTGCAGAAGAGAGGGCTTTACCTCCGTGCTGCGTGGGAAATGGATAACGTCCTCCCAGTGGACTCAGACCTCTTCCCAAACATCTCCACTAACACCTCTGAGCCCAACCAATTTGTGCAGCCGGCTTGGCAAATTGTCCTCTGGGCGGCTGCCTACACGGTCATCGTGGTGACCTCCGTGGTGGGCAATGTGGTGGTGATGTGGATCATTTTGGCCCACAAGAGAATGAGGACAGTGACCAACTACTTCCTTGTGAACCTGGCCTTCGCAGAGGCGTCCATGGCTGCCTTCAATACAGTCGTGAACTTCACCTATGCTGTCCACAACGAGTGGTACTATGGCCTGTTCTACTGCAAGTTCCACAACTTCTTCCCCATCGCTGCAGTCTTTGCCAGTATCTACTCCATGACGGCCGTGGCCTTTGATAGGTGAGTTTGCCCTTTGTGGAAGAGGGAGACAATGTCCCTAGAGTGTGGTGGCATTGCTATGTAGGTTTGGGGATGAATCACATAGGGTCCAAGGGGAAGACTAGCCACTCTGACCCTGCAGTCTTTGCTAACATCCAACTGAGTCACTTGTTGATGGGGGATATGGTCTTATCTCATCATTTTTCTTACTATTTTGTCTTTATTTTTCTCCCCCTTCTCACCCATAACCAGTCTCCCCTCTTTTCAACACACACTCCCCTTTTCTTCATATAATTCCCCTTTCTTCGTCCCTCCACACTTTCCTTTCAACTCCTGTTTTGTTCCTTTCCATATATTGTTTCTCCCCTTTTTCCTTAAAACCTGAGCTTACCCAGAGCATGGCCAAGGGGCTAGCCTCTGACTGTGAGGCAGCCTCTTGTTGCGTTTGAGTTTTAAATACACCTAGACAAAAGTCCTCATTTTTCACTGTTTGCTGAAGACACCAGCACTTCTGATTCTCATTTCAACTCCCCAATATTATTTGGATATGAAGAGTATTTCATCAGAATCCCCAAAATCTCCAGATTCTAATTCTACTCCGTCTGTGCTACCAGAATTCCTCATTTAGGGATGAGAGGCAACTGTGCTGTTCTTAAGGAATTCCACAGATAGATCCAGAGAGCTTCCCCAAGGGGTTTCCTCCATTTCTCTCCTAATGAAAGGTCAGGGTTTGGTAGCCTGTTGTATCCACAAAGAAATGTGCTTGGCAGAGGCAGAAGAGAGTGCTTCCTTACCTGCAACCAACAGGTTAGGGTTTCAGAAGATGACTGAAAGTGAAAAAGCTGGCATTCTGGAAGGAATGGCTCTGCAGGTGGCATGATGAGAAACTGGTTATGGCACAGCTCTGTTGGTATTGACCTTTACATGGACGTCACAGGTCTCTAATGTGTAGGTCTATGCATACACAGATGTTAAATGTTCACCTGGGATGTAGAGGTATGTTTAAAACACCCGGCACTGTGATGTTCAAATGGGTGTTTTTTATCTTTCCTAAGACAGTTGAATATGAGAAACGCAAGGAGTTAGGAGAAAACTTAGAAAAAAAAATTTCAAACCACTAACCCTTTTGCATAAAAACTGTGGCTAGTAATTGATTTGAGCTCTTTTCCAGGTTATATCTGTGGTTAATGTAAGTATGTTTTGTAAAAGTGCTCACCCATAGTCAATCTGTATTTCCATCCTTGCAGTGGTTTGCAGATGCTGATTTGTGAGTTCCATGTGCACTAGCGTTTACACGGCTCTCGGGTGTTTGTTGTGTGTAAAACAAAGTGTGGTGAATCAATGTATATTTTAAACATAGAAGATAAACCAAAATAGCAGTGAAATGAGTTATTGTGTAAAGTTACCTTTCCTGTGATCCTGGTTTTCATATGTTCTAAAGCATGTGTGATGTACACCTGTATATCTTTCTGCATTGATGCACTCCTTTAACCTCGCAACAGCTTCCTTAAGAAAGTGCAAACAAAACAAAGTGCGTGGTATGATATATGAGGATAATTGAATATCACTTGCAGTGAAATCCAACATCATTTCAGCCTTAACACACATGCTGTTGATGGTCCCTGCGTTAGACGGTGAGATGCTATTTTTTACAGGGCTGATGCCTTGCACGAACTCTAGGGAGACCTAGCAGTCAGTGTGAGCTGGAGCATTCCGCAGCTGATGGAGCACCAGCAGAAAGCTCTCTCCCTTCAGCGTACACAGAAACAGGCTGTGTTCCACAGCCCTGCTATTTCCTTTTGAACTTGATCAGTGGTAGAAGTCAGTCTCAGGGTCCTCACAGCAGATCCAGTAGGATACTGGACTTCCCTTCCACTGTTGTTTTTCTCTAGGTAAACCGTGGCAGGACCCTGACCCTCTGTGACACCTGCTTATTGAGATCAGAGTGTCTGGAGTGTGAGAGCTATAGGAAGTGACAGTAACAAGAAATGTCTTCATGTTTCCTATGTGCAGATACAGCCCAGGGAGGTTATCCATAGCAGTTCAAGATTAGAGCTCAATATAGCGTCGGGTCAGGGATGAGGCTTCTGTCTCCACATCTTCCAAGTCTCCTCTCCTTGCCTGCTCAGCATCATGAGCACACCATGAACTCACCCCCCAGGCCCTCTGATGAATGTATTCTTGCATGCATGGTTATCTATTCTCTCCAAAGAATGTTTTAGAGAGGACTGGACAATCTTTAAAAGTAATAGCAGTGTGGTTTGCCTGACTGTAAAATTAAACCTTGTTCCCTGCAGAAGACATAAGAAATATGAAGAGCATAGAAAGACACACACACACACACACACACACAACCATTCCTTTATCATCCAGAAATAACATCTACCAACACTTGAGTTTCACTTTTATGAATATTACACTACATTATAGAGGTCAGAGTCTACCTAATTTTGTTCCTTACTTTTTTCTATTGATATTAATGAAAAACACAAAGACAATTTCCCCATGTTATTACAAAGTCTTCAGAACCAATATCTTCATGGTTTCCTATTTTGCTATTATATGATTGTGCTATTATTTTCTTAACCATTCCCCTATTGTTGGATATTTAGGTGCTATAGATTTCTTCCTATTATGATTGATGCTGTAATGAATATTTCCATATGATGATTTTGTTTGCTTTCATGTTTCTTCCCTTAAGATGTATTTCCAAAGTGAAATTATTGGTCAGATGAAATGAGTTCTAAAAAAGATTCCTCCTAATTTTAAAGGATTATAAACTCTGTTCAGAGCAAGGAATGCATTTGTACTGTCTTGTTTATTTTTATCTCTTCAGTGCAAAGCAGAAAGCTTGGCACCTAACATTCATTTGCTTGTTTATAATATGTGAATGAATGAAGAAGATAACAAGTTTCCAGAGGAGCATTTGAAAAATACATAAAATTAAAAGAAAATGTAAAAAATTCCTATAATCCCACTACTTACAGTTAACCAGTTAAAACCCTTGAATGCTAACTATGATTACTTTTTCATCCAGTGATTTATGCCACAGTTATTCATACAGCTATTACTTTTAAGTTAATTTTAGATAAAAATTAAAAGCAATTCCAGTAGATGAGATTTTTAAGGTTTTTGTTGTTGTCATTGTTCTATTACACTGTATCATGGGTCCATGTCCTGTCATGATATGTTTTTCAAAATAATAGATTTAGGGGCCAACGCTGTGGTGCAGTAGATTAATCCTCCGCCTGCGGTGCTGGCATCCTATATGGGCACCGGTTCTAGTCCCGGCTGCTCCTCTTCCAATCCAGCTCTCTGCTGTGGCCTGGGAAGGCATTAAAAGATGGCCCAAGTCCTTGAGCCCCTGCACTCACGTGGGAGACCGGGAAGAAGCTCCTGGCTCCTGGCTTCATATCTGTGCAGCTCCAGCCACTGCGGCCACCTGGGGAGTGAACCAATGGACGGAAGACCTTTCTCTCTGTCTCCCCCTCTCACTGTCTGTAACTCTGTCTCTCAAATAAATAAAATATTTTAAATATGATATATTTAGTAGATAAATTGTATCACATGGGCATAATAATTTTAACCAGTGTTCTATTTTTATCTTTTTAAATTTTTCATTATTACAACTAATGTGAAATTAATAGCCTGAACATATATCTTAGGAGCACCTCTGCTTCTTTCCTTAGACTAAACACGTGGAAGTGGGCTCATTGGGTCAAATTATCTTGGTAAACTTTCCAGATCCTTCTAGAACTAATATGAATGCAGAGAAACAAACTTCAGCTTCAGATTGTAGTATAAATTGGAATGTTTCCTGTGGTCTTTCTATAAATAGGTAGAAAAGAGAGATAGACAAGGACATAGGGACAGAAGATCCCTTCAGAAGGAATACTGATTTTAAAGGTGCTAGTTACCTAGAATTAAAAAAATCAGACACAAGTTGTAGTTAAACAGTTCAGATGTGAACCCCAACAAATCACAGGGATTTGAACTTTTGAAATTCTGTAATTTCTCCCAATTTCAGTTTAAAAATTCTCTCCTACTGTAAAAGCTAAAATGTGTGTGTTGCTCTTACATGAAATTTGGAGATGGGAGGTGTCAGGTGACAACTCCCATTTATAGGGTTGGAGATGACGACAGGTTCTGTGTGGTGAGGTGGCTAGTGATATGGTGAAGAATGGAGGAAGGGCACAGGGGTGCCAATCCGTAAGCCCCAGAGGAAGGAGTAAAAGGACAAGAGGGAATCAGACTTGGGACCTTGCACATGGCAACAAGAGACTCAAAAAAACCAGTGCCTGGTGTCACTGCTTTTCCGCTTGGCAGGGGCAGCGATTATTTCAGCAAAACGAAAGGTGTAAGCTGCTCATGCCTCATACTGGTCCTGAATATGTTGTGTTTGAGTGAAAGAAAGCATCCAAATTGGACAATAGAAGATATGAGCAGGACCAAAATTAGAGTTGCCCAGATTGCAGTAACAGGTGAAGGCAAAAGAGGGAATGAGCTCCCTGAGTAAAAGAGGAACCTAGGAAAAAGCCACGCATAAATAACAAGACTCCTGCCACTGCTCCCTGGCGTTCAGGCAAACTCTGCTCCAGCCATACCCAGATAACAGTGTAGATAACCCTCTTCCTGGGTCTTGGCTAGACCTGGAGTCTGTCCTTCAAATTTAGCATGTTGACAGGAACAGGATGCCATTGTCTTTCTCAGGATAGTCCTTCCCTCTCCCCCAACCCAGAGGCAAGACTTACACTCCAGGACCCTCCTGGTCTCCCATGTGGGTGCAGGGCCCAAGCACTTGGGCCATCCTCCGCTGCCTTCCCGGGGCCACAGCAGAGAGCTGGATTGGAAGAGGAGCAACCAGAACAGAATCTGGCACCCCAACCGGGACTAGAACCCAGTGTGCCGGAGCCGCAGGCGGAGGATTAGCCTATTGAGCCGCGGCACCGGCCTTTTGCTCATTTCTTAACTGGATTGTTTGTCTTGTTGTTGTTGAATTTCTCGAGCTCCTTATAGATTCT